CAACCCCAAATATAATCCACTCTGCAACCCTCATTGCGTACTCCTAGTTTAAAGTGGGATTTTTTGTCTTCTGGATAGGCTCAAGGGAGTGGTGGTGGCCTAGTGATAAGAAGTTGTATTTCAAATCAAAAGCACAAGGTTTGAATCCAAGAGCTGCTCAGTGGAAGAAAATGGGCAGTCACATCCCAATAGATTTACAGCCTCTGAAAACCTGATGGATGGTCAGCTCTGAGTCACTTCTGACTCAAAAAGCACATACTATCCAACCAACAGATAGGCTAAAAGGAGCGCTAGTGGAGCAGGCCATGGGGAGTTGCACCTTGGACTCTGTCTTAGTTCAAATCCACCAGCTGTTTCACAGCAGAAAGTTGAACACTCTCTTCCCCTGCAATTTACAGCCTCTGAAAACATGCTGGAGGGTCAGCATGCATCAGTTCCTACTTGATGATGGTAAGGAATAAAAGAGAGAGCTGAAAGTCTGTTTTTGCGGTCTGAGGACCAGCAGTATTGATTTTATTTGGACATTTTAGAAATTCAGAGCCACAAGTGAATCAGGATCTTCATCTTAACAAGATTCCTAGAAGATTGGCATGTATATTAAAGTTTGAGAAATCCTGGCCTTAGAGACACTGCCTATTAAATGCATATCTTCTCATATGAGTCAATTTTAACATTTACCCCAACAAGTGTTCCAGTCTTCCTAGTTTGCTAATTCTCTCCCCCCACCCCCATCCTGGCTAATTTATGATTATGTAGCACTTGATTTATGGATAATTACTACTGGCCTGTGTGGGAAAGCTGATGCCCTCTTCAGTGGGCCCCCCTCATCTAAGAAAAGCAGCTGTGTAGACTAATTATCTTACATCTGGCAATAATTAAAACTCATAAAGCAGAAAGGAGTCTAGCTCTGAGGATCGACTAGAATTGGCTGGAGAGAATTACAACAGACGGAAAACTAGGAGAAACTCTGAATTGGTGAGGGGGTGAAGGGTGAAACATCTGCAGGAGGAGCCCACCCTTTTCCAGGTGCAGCTTGTTAATAGCTTGACTGGGGTACTCCCCCAAAATATATGCTGTAAAATCCTAAACCATAGTCTTGTGAACTCAGACTCGTCCAGACTTGGAGATTTCTTTGTTATGTTAATGAGCAGTATCAGCTTTGGGTGTGTTTTAAGACAATCACTTTGGAGCCATAAAAAGAGTAGATAAAACACAAAAGTTCACAAAACTCATTGTTGTGAATTTGGAACCAATTTGGAGATGGTGAGGAAGGCTCAGTACAAGGCAGGGTTCAGATCATTGTTCATTGATTGACTGATGGGGCATACATTAGCAACGTGGCTCAGATGGGCTTTCAGCAGCTGTAAATTGGATGGGAGGAGATTTCCCCGTCTTTCTCTCTCAGAAGAGGCACCACCTTTGGGTTAACAATGCTACCCCCTATGTACTACACCACCAGAGCTTCTGAGCCACAGAAATAAGGAAGTTTGAGTGGAGAAATACTCATGCCATGTGGATATCCCCAACAAACCAGGACTTTGAACCAGAGCCAGCAGAAGAAGACTTCCTCAAGATCTATTAGACTCTTATTCTCTTGAATTATATGATTAGTTCTCATTACAGCCACCCAGCCAGAAGTTTATCTACTATAGCACAAAGAAGCAAAGAACTGGCCAGAGATTAATTCTTTAAGAAGCTACAGGGAACTCACTTAGAGCAATGAGCAGAGACTTAAGTCTGGTGCCCTGGAGATGAAAACTTGAGCCCATGTTGCAGAAAGAAAGCATTGAGGAATTTCTCATCCCCCTGGTCAAAGAGCAGAACACCATAGAGACAAATGAATGCTGTAGCCATAGGACATAGAGTACAAGTATTTTGCTGGGATTAAAATTCTCCTTTTAATGCCCTTGATATGCTAATAAGATATTTAAAGGTGATATACTTTTTCTGTCACATTCTTGATAGGTTTTTATTTTTATTAGAGGATGTTGTTTCTTTAATCCTTTTCATTTTCAAAAATGCTCAGACTCTTTGACTATTACAGTTCCTTAAGCTTCTTAAATTTTTCTTCCAGGTGAATATACTGTAATGACAGCTCATTTCCACTTGAAAAGAAAGATTGGGTATTTTGTGATCCAGACATATCTGCCTTGCATCATGACTGTCATTCTCTCCCAAGTGTCATTCTGGCTTAACCGAGAATCAGTGCCTGCAAGAACGGTGTTTGGTGAGTGAAGAGCTACAGATTTTGTTGGACAACACATTATATTTCACAGTGCGCTTACAAAAGCATTATTTCTTTTGATCCTCACTTCAGTGCTTGCAGTGTGTGGGCGGGGAGGATGTATTGATTTCACCTTAGAGATGAGGAAACTGTGATGCAGGTAAAATGCAATCAGTGCAGTTGGTATCACACTGTTAAAAGACTTAAAGAGCACTCAGATGTTCTGGAAGTAAATTATGTCTTCTGTATGCCCCATCATATTGCTTGTCAACATCTGTCTTTGTGTTTGATTGAGGAGAATTTTCTTGAGAGCTTTTAATTTAGAGAGCAACAGGACTGTATTTGTAGGCTTGGTATGTTTCATATGCTTATTTTTGTTTTTTTTAGAAGAAGAAGAAAGATACTTTTAGTAATGCCAGGGAAACGAGTGAGTGGGAGAAGACCTTACTCCCTTTCTTTAGTATATTTAGTGAAAAAGTAATTAAAATCATGCAGGGAAGTGCAGATGTGGCACTTTAAGTAAATAAATTAGGCTGAACACATTTTTATAGAAAGTAGATTATCTTTGTGTGTCTGTCTCACTCATTCACTTAGAATTTCGTTGAGAGCCAGATACTGCAGCAGGCCCTGAAGATTGAAAAACAGTACATCTACAGTATAGTGCCTGTATTAAGTCAGTTCAGTATAGTGGGGCTCCCTAGAATAATCAGGATGGAACCAGAATGAAAGCACCGAAGAAGAGACACATACAAGCTGTTATGGCAAACAACTGTCACTAGGTAACTCAGTAACTTAGTTAACTGTCACTAGGTACCTGTAACTTAGTTAACAATTGAGCTAATCTCGAAAGATGGGTAGGAGTTACCCAAGCAGTGGGATTAGGGCAAACGTCACAAGTCAAATGAGTAAATTTGTAATGGAGGGATGAGAGGGCATGGTAAGCTCAGTAATAGTGTGTTGTTCCACTGATGCTTAGAAATACTGTTGGAAGTCAGTATGAGAAAATGAGAAGAAAAATCTTTTGTTGTTGTTGTTATGTGCCGTCGAGTCTTTTGCAATTCATAGCGACCCTATGTACAACAGCCCTAAACTCTGCTCTGTCCTGTGCCAATAGCACTGCCTCTGACACACCCATCCCTATTACCCCAGTCACCGAATCAATCCACCTCATAGAGGGTCTTCCCCTCCTGTGCTGTCCCTCCACCCTCCCAAGCATGATGTCCTTCAAGGACCTGTCCCTCCTTACAACATATACAAAGTATGTCAGACGAAGCCACAGAATCCTTGCCTCCAAGGAATAGCCTGGTTTAACCCTCTCCAGGATGAATCTGTTTTTCTTGGCAGTCCATGGTACATTCAATACTTTACTCCAGCACCACAGCTCAAAGGCATCAATTCTCCTTCTATGCTCCCTAGTCATTGTTCAACTCTCTGATGCATAACAAGTGACTGCAAAGACCATGGCCTGTATCAGGTGCACCTTAGTCTCCAGAGAGACACCGTTGCTCTTGAGTACTTTAGAGAGGTCCCAAACAGCAGACTTTCGCATTGCAATATGTTTTTTGATTTCCTGGCTGCTGGTGCCAAGAGTGTTGGACTTTTAGGCCAGTGTTATACTCTCGCCCTTTATTGAACAGGCTGTTATAATGATCTATGTTTTTGTGTATTCTTTAAAAGAGGGTCTGGTGTTTAATAAGTGTTCTGTTACTGCTTTATAGTCGTCATTAATCTCCTAATTTTGCTTTAGGAATTCTGTTAACGGAATAAAAAGAGTGATTGAAAATCAAAAAGAACAAGTACAAGGATCCAAGGAGAGGTCACACAATTTAGTGAGTGGATAGAGGGATGGATAAAGGAAAGGGGGACGATCTGGTGTGAAAAACAATGCATATGAACTTTTGTGAACTTTCTATGTAAACCAGTATTAAATTTAAAAGAAAAAGTTAAAGAAGATAAAAAGACCAAGAAACAGACAAGTCAGGGGTTATGAAATAACTCAAGTGCTGCCTATCCTTGTTCATTACCAAATGAAGAAGTGTTATTATGTGCCGTCGAGTTGCTTGTGATTCATAGCGACCCTATGTACAAAGCCCTAAACTCTGCTATGCCCTCTGCCAATCGCATTGTCTCCAACACACCCATCCCGAATCCCCCAGTCACCAAATCATTCCACCTCATAGAGGACCTTCCCCTCCTGCACCTGCCCTCTACCCTCCCAAGCATGATGTCCTTCTCCAAAGACCAGTCTCTCCTTACAGCATGACCAAAATATGTCAGAAAAAGCCTCAGAATCTTTGCCTCGAAGGAGCCATCCGGTTTAACCCTCTCCAGAGCGAATCTGTTTGTTTTCCTAGCAGTCCATGGTACCCTCAATACTCTTCTCCAACACCAATGCTCAAAGGTATCAGTTTTCCTTCTATCTTCCTTAGTCATTCAAACACCAATGCTCAAAGGTATCAGTTTTCCTTCTATCCTCCTTAGTCATTGTCCAACTCTCTGATGAATAACGAGTGATTGCAAAGACCATGGCGTGTATCAGACACACTTTAGTCTCCAGAGAGACACCATTGCTCTTAAGTACTTTAGAGAGGTCCCTAACAGCAGACTTTCCCATGGCAAAACATCTTTTAATTTCCTGGCTACTGGTGCCAAGAGTGTTGATTGTGGAGCCAAGCGGACTAAAGCTGTGAATAGTCTCAATCTCTTCACCATCCATCCTGATGCTACCAATTGGTCCAGTGGTGAGAATCTTTGTCTTCTTGACATTGAGCCTCAATCCATATTGAAAGCTGCAGTCCTTGACCCTCTGCAGCAAGCACTTCAGTTCCTCCTCAGAAGTAAGAGGGAAACAAGTATAGTCAAATGATTGATGCTGCTGTATGTGCCGTCGGGTTGCCTGAGACTCAGCGATGCACCATGAACACTGCCTTATCACTGTGAACACTATGAACCCTGTCTTATCCTGAGCCAATCTCACCCCGTTTCTGACACACCTACCCCATTACCCCAGTTACTATGTCAGTCCATCTCCTCTAGCGTCTTCCTTTCTTGTGCTGTCCTTCCATCCTTCAAGCATGATATTTTTCCCAAGGACTGGCCCCTCTTGGCAACATGCTCAAAGTATATCAGCCAGAGCTTGGCATTCCTTGCTTCCAGCTGGGTTTCACCTCTCCAGGGCACACTTGTTTGGACTCTTGGAAATCCAGGAGATGTTCAACACTCTTCTCCAGCTCCATAACTCAAAGGCATTGTTGTCTTTTTTCTCTCAACCTTAATCACTGCCCAGCCCTCTGAAATGTAAAAAGTAATTGTGAAGACCACGACCTAGATCGGGCACACCTTAGGGTATGAAATTAATGGATTTAGTGAATATTTGCCGTATCAGATTCCTCTGGCTGCTACAACAAGTCATTACAAATTAGGTGGCAGAATTTTTCTCATCTCTCATATAAAGACATTCATCATTGGATTTGAGTCCCACTGTAAATGCAGAACAATTTCAGCTTGAGATGCTATTGCATTACATGGACAAAATGAAATATTTCAAATAAGGTTATATTTGTAAAATCAGGAATTTCTTGTATATGTCTTTGAGGGCCACTATTTAGTAATGCCGTATAGCCGTAAGAATGTACAGCATTCTAAATGAATAATAATGATGTTGATAAAAACAAAGGCACAAGAGAAGAAAAATCACAATCATGATGTAACTTGAATTATGTGGACTTTGACATTCTTTGTGATACCAGTTTTGATGCCCAGTAACCCTGTGAAATTATGTTTATGAAACACAGGTAAATTGATACAGGAATCATCAGCTACTATATCATATAACTATATCATATAACATTTAAAGCATATCTTCTAGGTAAATTTTCATTGTTATTGTTGTCAGATGCCATTGATGAGTGAATGAGAAAACAGAAGACAGAATCCTTAAAAATACTAATATTTCAGAACTTAGAAAATAAAAAGCTTAATAAGAACCATCAGATGATGAGGAAGAAAACAAGAAATGAACAATACCCTAAAAGACAAAAAGGATAATAAGAAAACACTCCAATGCACACATGCATATCTTTACATCTGTGGTATCAAATATATGCAGATGATTTTTCAAAGCCCTAAATGAGTTTGGATGACACAATGACAGGGTGCTCTGATGATGGATAATGGCATTACAAGTTGAGCTCCTAACTCATTGGTCAGTAATTTGAAAACATCAGTTCTCCTGTTTAAAGGCAATATATGATTAGGTATTATTTTCATGATAAGAGTCCAGAATAAGAGCTGCATAGTAAAGTGGGGGCAGGGGGACATTGTATAACAATGAAATAATTTTTTCCTTTTCTCTTCAAGGAGAAAAGCAAACTGTGAGGAGGGTTAGGTAGGGAGGAAAGTGTGCAAAAATGTATAAATGGAAATCCAAAGTCTCTGTAAACTTTCATTAAAGTTTAAAAAGACAAAACCAAATCACATCAACCTTAGGGTTAGCAGCTGAGATCTTAAAAGAAAAAAATCACTGAAGATTTTTTTTTTAAAAAATTATTATTTTAAAACTTATGTCAGGGCAGAACAATAATTTTAAGGGTTCATCCAGTCTCTAGGTTTCCACAAGGACTTTCTGGAATCCTTTGTGGAGTTAAAAGAGCACTAAGACCAGTGAATAAACTAAGACATGTTTAACTAATAAACAGAGTCTTAAACTAATAAACAAGTACCTTAGAGCACTCAGCCATTCTGACTTAGAAAACCCTGCACAGTGACTAATAACACCTTTGACAACAGGTAAACCTATCAAGCCTACTAGAACAAAGCCTTGTTAATGAGACTCCCATCAAACACTGGGACATGTCCCTTAAAAAATCTACAGCTAAATGTTTATACTGAAAGAATGCTCTTGAAGAAATGTTTATACTCCCTGTTGTAACTGCTACCATCTGATTTTTTTGCATATTGTTAAACACTTGAAGATTTTGCTTAAAAGCTTTGCTTGTGTTGAA